GGGACTGTAAACATCTTGCATCAAGGGACTGTAAACATCTTGCATCAAGGGACTGTAAACATCTTGCATCAAGGGACTGTAAACATCTTGCATCAAGGGACTGTAAACGCAATTTTAAATGACAATTTATATTCAGAACAATACCAAAGTTGAATGAGAAATCCATGTTTCTTTTCGCTAAAAACTGATTATTTTCAATACTGGGTTCTCTAAAAACGTGACTTCTGGATTTTTGCAGCAGAGACAATGGTGGAAGTTGTGAGAATTTAACACTTTTCAAAAAAGAAAAACAAGGTCACTTGAAATTTAGTTTACAGTCTTCAAACTTTACAGTCTTCAAACTTTACAGTCTTTAAACTTTACAGTCTTTAAACTTTACAGTCTTCAAACTTTACAGTCTACAAACTTTACAGTCTTTAAATTTTACAATCTTCAAACTTTACAGTCTTCAAACTTTACAGTCTTCAAACTTTACAGTCTTCAAACTTTACAGTCTTCAAACTTTACAGTCTTCAAACTTTACAGTCTTCAAACTTTACAGTCTTCAAACTTTACAGTCTTCAAACTTTACAGTCTTCAAACTTTACAGTCTTCAAACTTTACAGTCTTCAAACTTTACAGTCTTCAAACTTTACAGTCTTCAAACTTTACAGTCTTCAAACTTTACAGTCTTCAAACTTTACAGTCTTCAAACTTTACAGTCTTCAAACTTTACAGTCTTCAAACTTTACAGTCTTCAAACTTTACAGTCTTCAAACTTTACAGTCTTCAAACTTTACAGTCTTCAAACTTTACAGTCTTCAAACTTTACAGTCTTCAAACTTTACAGTCTTCAAACNAAATCGAAATATTTTTTTTTATTTTTTTAGCGAGTTTTTAAAATTCTACGGACAACGCCGGGTGTTTCAGCTAGTAGATGATAAATGATAAATGTAAGTAAATTAAAAATAACTTTTTTATAATATTTCAATTGTAAAACACTAGAGTAATTAACTGCAAGATTCACAATTGTATAGCAGTAAAAACAACATTGCAGTATTTATCAAAAATATAAATGATATTTAAATCTTTTTTTCAAAATCTTTTTGAGAATAATTAGACCTATACTTGTCAAGGTTAAAACGGCATTTTAGAGCAAAATATGTCATCCACGGGCATTTAACCTTCCGTAATAACGTTTTAGAACAATAAAACGAGGTTTAGAAGCGCCAGAGAAGCTTAAACACTTTTTTAGAGACACCCCTTTAGGTTCTTCCACTTGTATATCTTTTTCAAAAATACACGTTCCAAAATCAAGGAAGAATGTGGTAAATCTTGTTCTGAACTTCTGAGTTGGCATACAGAAGCTAATTAATTAGCGTAATTTCAAATGACCATTCATGCAAAGATGACAAAGCCCGTTTCACAAGAGATTAACCTTGAAATCTCAATATAATCAATATTGTGGAAGATATCGCCGTTTAACTAGGTTTAAAAATATTTTAATCTAATTGTAATAAATTCAGGGGATGAAGTTTATTTTACTATCCTTATCATATATGCGTTGCTTATCTAGTTTACTATCCTTATTGTCTTTGTTTTGCTTACCTATTATCTATGTTCTAGTTGACCCTGACCGGTCAGCCCGGTCAACCTATATATACCTGTATCAATGTATCAATAAATTACTCTAGTATCAATAGTCGTTTCGAACAGAAGTATAGAGCCAGGGTTTTGGCTAGAGAAATAGAGTCTTGAAGACTGATTATTAGAGTTAGAGTCAAGTATAGGGAGATTGACCGGGACCTAGATCGTTACACAATAATTCGTTTATTTTCCTGCAGTAAAAATGCCCAATTGTACAATTGTAGAGAACTCACAATTTTAATTGAAAATAATATATTTTCCAACATGGATATCTTAATCCATACTTGATCCAATAATCAGGTTGTAAATTGCTTGGATGGTCATTAAAAATTACGCTTACCACTCCTGTATGCCGAGTCCATTAGCGCCTGATCCAATCACGGTTCAGTCATGTGTTTGAAGTCTATTCTGAACCAATAGAAATTGCATAGCTGTAACATCTATCTTTCTATCTATCTCATTATCCAATTAGAGATGAATCCTTATATCGGCGCTACAACAGTAAATGTAAATATTTACTTCTACTGAAACTATAGTGTACAGTCTCTTTCAAAAAAAAATAAGATGTTATAAAAAAAACTAATTAATTTTCTGCAAATAATTCTGCATTATAATTTGCGAAAGTTGTCTAGTCAGCAAAAAATGTATTTTTGATAATTTATTCATTTAATTCCGAATTTGCATATCTTTAGTGCGCAATCTTAATATGAATAAGGAGGGCNGAATTTTTATTGAAAAGACGACATTTGTAGAATTTGAAGAAATCTGCGAACAAATTCATAAAGATACGAAATTCAATGGAATGATTGATTCTAACATTGATTTCTTCGCGAATTTCTTTAGAGAAATTTGTTCCTAAACAACTAACTAATAATAGTTCCCAGCTTAAAAAGATGTTTTTAATATACATTTCAAGCGAATCAAAAACAATGGTCGTATCTAAATTAAATCATTTAATTTATTATACTTATTTTCATATCAGTAAATGTCTTTAACTTTAATTAAATATCATAAATTTCCATGCACATTGTAGAGATAAAAGTATGAAACAAAAATAAAATAAAATAAAAAAGTTTTTTTTCACGCATCTCCAAAAATTGATGTAATAAAGGGGTTTAGCCGAGTTTTTATTTTATGCACAAGTATATGAAATGAAAATTTATCCATGGTTATACATTAGAAAATTTAAAACATTTTTTTGTTCAATAGCTCTTCAAAAGAGTTGAGTTATGATTGAAAATATAAAATTTTAATCAAACGTGCAATTTACTCCAGTTTGCCGTACGTACTACGAATAATGTAAACTGAGTAATTCCAATTTTATTAAGTAAGAAAAAAATATTTATATCCCTAATAACCATATTTTCATTTCTGTACTTTAATGAAAATCTATGTCAAAAGAAGGGAAGTTACAAATCATAATTTACTTTGATAATATATAATAATATAACTTTATATAAATGATATAATTACAAGTAGTGTACAACATATACTATATAATATTTATATGATAGTACAGAACGAAAATAAAATGCCCAGGGGACTAGTGTAGTAATCAAATTAGATATTAGGTTAAAAGAAGGGATACTTTTAGCTAAAGGGGTTAACTATATATAGTATTTATACTTTGCTTGTAAGGAAGGGGGAATAAGTGTTTATACTGTGGAAGCATGAAGATGAGTGGTTTCTCCACCATATCACGGGATGTCGAGGGGTATCAATGCTGGCACGGGACTCCAGAACTGCACTGCGCATGCTCTGAAACCAGCTTGAATTCCCACGCATGCGCAGCTGCCACGGTATCGATTTTGGGCCGAGAGTCATATGATACCCACATGATGTTTCTCAAAGGCCTGAAGTGGCTTACACTCAACCAGAACGACCGTCAACCCAACCAATCTGTGAAACAAGCCAACCTCCAATTTCCAATGCTAATTTTAGCGCCAAAATGGCTGAAATATTGGTAAATTGTTGTATATAGTGGAGGGGTAACCCCTACTTGTATAGATAAACCTGGAGGCTGGTTCTAGGCCGACCTCCCTCAACCTCCAGTCATCCACTATATACCAACCAAGATGTCCATGTTTTCTGGTCTAGGAAACCAAATTTCAGGGTTTGTTTCCCAGAAAATGGGGAAGGGGGATGCGCCCCCTGAGGGCGAGCCCCAGGAAGCGGCGGAGAACGGGGAGGAGGTACCCGTTGAAGGCGGAGCCGGGGGCGGTGCTATGGGTGGGGCAATGGGGTTTGCCCAGGGCTTAATGATGAAGGCAGCGGCAGCTAAGGATGGTATAAAGGAGAAGGCTGGTGGACTAGGTGTTGGAGGTCTTCAGGTTAGTTTACAATCAATCAATCAATCAAATAATTACTTGTTTTTCATCTTTCTAAATATTGTTCTTTGATCTTGTCTCTATGTTGTAATTATAGTTGATGGCATTATGTACATGTGTACATGCAGTATGTTGTGCTGTTTAATGTATTTAGTTTTACCGTGCTGCAAAGTTTTAATCTAGTTATTTGTTGTTTAGAAGTACTTTCGGTTGTTTTTAATTAGAAAACTACCTGTCTATCTATCTATCTATCTGTATGGTTTATGTATCTATCTATCTAACTGTATAGATTTCTTTTTGTTTACTATCTATCTACATATCTACTTTTCCATCTTTCTATCTATGTATCTATCTATCTATATACCTTTCTATCGTATAGATAAATGTTTATTTATCAATATTCTATCTATCTATCTATCTATATATCTATCTATCTATCTATCTATCTATCTATCTATATATCTATCTATCTATCTATTATATCTATATAAAATCACGAAATATATAGACCAGGAACCGCCATATCTGACGCGTCAAATCTGTGTACTGCAGTGGGAGGAGATCAAAACAAAGAATTCAGGGGCAACGCATCATTTTTGAGGGAAAAGAGCCCGAGGGGTGGAATAAGAATATATTGCTATTGTATTTTCCATATTGACCAGAAAGCCAAAGTATTCGCTCTAACTTGATATATTAACTTGTTTTAGTTGTTGGATTGTAATATCACATCAGGGCTGTAGTCCTTTCCCTTCAACTTCTGTGGGGGCACTGGGTTTGTTTACATTCCTCCCACCACAGAGCACAGTACACAATTTGCGTATATCTGAGTTGGGGGTACCTGTATATGTAGTTCCTTGTATAAAATCATGTTTTGAATACTATATTTTCTTATCTATATATATATATCTTTTGATCTATGTATAAATGGAGCTTTATGCATTTTCTATTTTTAAAGTTTAAAAACTTTCATATTTTTGCACTAATAGACGGTCTGAACAAAATTAAAATAAAAAATTGTATAAAATTATAAAAGTAAACAGTTTTATTTTACAAAATTCTAATTTCTACATAAATAGGTATATTTTAAGCAAAATGTATACAATTTATTTCTTCACATCATTTGTGTTACCTGGCCAAAAAATGTGAGATTTTGATGACAACCTAAAATTCTTAGATTATGACAAAAAATTAATAAATTATCATTATAATTGTCTAGATACAAACACAATAAATTTATTGATATGGAAAAGAAAGTAAAACTAAAAAAACATGAATGAAAGATCGACGACTATTTCAACTATCGTCCATAAAGTCTTATTTTTTTTGGGTAACCCTGCAGCTTGCCCGAATGTGAACAGTAATGAGTATTTTATGTAAATTGAAAACTTCCCAATCTTTTCTAAATATCTTTCCATCTGTATATTTAGTGTACTGGCCTGTTTTGCTGTGTTGTACTGTACTGTACAGTATACATATGTTGTATGTATATCGTACATTGTACAGCTTGTATACGTAGGCTAAAAGTTGGCCGAATACTATATAACTGAACCGAAATTTTCAAAATTATCAAAATCATTCCTGAACTATTGAGACTTGTATTTGTACTTTTTTGCCCTGGATGCAAGACTGTAAAAGCTGAAAAGCACTTAGTTTTAACTTAAAATAATGTAGTTATTGAAACATTTAAATTTATTTACCTGTGTCATATCTTCTCCCTATTCTTCTATCTATCTATTCATCTGTCTAGCTATCTTTCTTTCTATCTATCTAACTATATATCCATCTATCTATCTATCTTTCTATCTATCTATCTGCATACATATTTATCTAAAAGTCTATTTATCTTTCTATCTATCTATCTGTATACATATTTATCTAAAAGTCTATAGAGATTAAATGAAGAAAGGAGATTAATGACAATTCCCAAAATAGAGAAACATTTTCAATTTTTAAAAAAACAAAACAACACAACTTATTAACAAATACTTTTTTTAAACATATAGTTTTGTTCTTGTGATTAGTTTTTTTTCATAGAAACGTCCCAGGGTCGAATTAGGGTTTCCAACGCAATCGAGCCCTTTAGTTTCGCGCAATTCAGCGAAATTCAGTGCAATTCAGCGTAATTCCACGCTATTTGGCACAATTCTGCATAATTCCACACTATTCTACACAATTCTGCGCAATTTTGCGCAACAAAATTTCGATTGGAAACCCTAGTCCGGATTTGACACTTTGACACCGCTTTTAGGCTCCGTTCGGTGGGGCAGGAGGAGAAGAGGGGGCGGTAGCAGAACCTCAGTATAACGAACAGGCAGACTCATCAATCAATTAATCAATCAATCAATTGATCAATCAATCAATCAATCAATTATGTAACCAAAAAATCAATCAATAAACCAATCCATTAATTTGTCAATCAATTGATAAATAATTAATTATTAAATATTTCTACAGAAAAAAACTTAACTTTAAGGAAATATTTATGGGTTAAAGTTACTCAGACTCTACGTCTTTAATTACGAAATATTGATTTTAATATTCTTCATGCGATCGAAAATTTTGATTTTTTTGTAATGCAAGCAAACTTTTAAGAAATTGAGAAATATGTGAAACTTAAAGATTTCTGTGATAACAAAAGTTGAATGCAAAGATGGCAATGCCCAATTTACTACAGTACCCTTAAACCCTAGATCTCACTAAAAGTTTGGAAGATGCTGTCGTTTTTTTGCTTCTCATAAGCAAGGAATGCGCATTCAATTATGCACAAAACCCGCAAATGAAAAAAAGAAAATAAAACTTGATCAGACAAAGTTTTTAAGGGTATTGTTGTAAATCGGGCATAAGAATTAAATGGCAAAAAATATGTCTTAATTTAAATAGATTAAACCTTTAGGAGAATATCATTTAAACCGCTTTGCAAACTTTAAAACAAATTAATTTAATCAAAATACATCCAATACTGGAAAAATATAATTTATAATTTATAATTTAAAAAAAACTAAAAATTACTTTTGAATTTTCTCTTTAATTAAAAACATAAATAATAACATTTTTAAACCCCTTTTTAATTCTCCCCCCCCCCCTCCAACCCTGTGAATGTTTGATTAGACGGGTATTAGGGTCATGTTAACCAATATTTCTCTCACAGAGCTATAAACTTCTAATTAAAATAGTATACTTGATTTCGGATTTTAAAAAATCAGAATCCTTACTTAATGGTTTTCAAAGCAGATTTTTAGGGGTTTTATAACACTTTATTGTATACAAACATTACGACAATGTTATGAGTCTTAAAGTTATTTAAAGTTAGACTTTGTGTGACAAAAGTTGATTCCAAAATCCAGACTCACGTTGTTTGCAAATCAGCTGTTTTTTTCTTTGTGGATTAATGAGCTGAATACAGACATTATTTGTTAATCAGCTTATAACGGACTTTATTTGTTAATCAGCTGATAACGAACTTCATCTGTTAATCAGCTGATAAAAGACTTTATTTGTTAATCAGCTGATAATGGACTTTATTTGTTAATCAGCTGATAACGAACTTTACTTGTTAATCAGCTGATAACGAACTTTACTTGTTAATCAGCTGATAATGGACTTTATTTGTTAATCAGCTGATAACGGACTTTATTTGTTAATCATCTGATAACAGACTTTATTTGTTAATCAGCTATTTGCGAACTTTATTTGTTAATCAGCTGATAAAGGACTTTATTTGTTAATCAGCTGATAAAAGACTTTAATTGTTAATCAGCTGATAATGGACTTTTTTTGTTAATCAGCAAATTACGAAAATTGCATGTCAATCAGCTGATTACGGACTTCAACAGTAAAGATCAGCTGATTTTCGACTTTGCGGATAAACTAGGGGTTAAGAGAAGTTCCTAAACACTTGTCTAGAAGAGTACTTGAAAAGTTTGTCAAGATTACTCTCTCGAGTCTCTAAATTGCAATTTTCAGTCAGACTTTTGAACACAAACATTTCAACCCATTTATACACCTTTTTTACCATTGAATGTACCTTTACAGACATCTCAATACTCTTAAGAAACTTTAATCTGTTACAAAATGATAAGATAAATACAATTATTTTTATAAATTATAAAATATGCTTTGAATTATTTTATGGTTTTAGATTAAAGAATGAACTTAAAGTCAAAAAATCAAATAATTTTACTAAAATGATTCCAGAAAATAGTGTGTTCTTAATGTGGAAAAGTCATAGCTTTTACTATCCATCTTTTCTTGATTTTTAGAATCAAGAACAACATGTTATGAGGTCATATTAAATTAATATTTCTATCAATTGGTCATCTTCGCTAGATCTAACAGTCATCTTCGAAGATCAAGCGGTCATATCTAATAGATCAAACGGTCATCATTGATATTTCCAACAGTCATCTTCGATAGATCAAACAGTAATTGTCAATAGATAAAACGGTCATTTTCATTACATCAAAAAGTCATTTTCAATAGATCAAACGGTCATCTTCAATAAATCGAGCGGTTATCTTTGATTGATCAAACGGTCATCTTTAAATTATCAAGTGGTCATCTTCGATATGTCAAACAGTCATTTTCTAAAGAACAGTCATCTTTGATAAATCAAAAGATCATTTTCTGGAGATCCAACAGTAATTTTTTATATTTCGAAAGGTCATCTCATCTTGGATCGATCAAATGGTCATCTTTGATGGATCGAACAGTCATCTTCAATAGATTGAAAGGTCAATTACTAAGAACGAACGGTCATCTTCGATATATCAAACGGTCATCTTAGATAGATCATACAGTCATCTTTGATAGATCATATGGTCATCTTTGATAGATCAAACGGTCATCTTTAATAGATCAAACGATCATCTTTGATAGATCAAACGGTCATCTTTGATAGATTAAATGGTCACTTATGGTAGATAAATCACAACGAATGGTTGAATGATGTCTGAGTTTAGGGAGAATTAATCGAGGGTGAGGAGGGAGTAGAGGGGCAGCAAGCTCCTGCAATGGGGTTTGCAGCTGGTCTGATGATGAAGGCATTGATCCATTTGTACAGCATGGATTCCGTTACTTTGATAAAACTAAGTTTATAAATGATCATTTTAGATTTTTACAATGTGCTTTAAAAAGGATTTTTTAAGACATTTGGAAACTTTGAAAAAAGGAATCTTTAAACCTGAAATGCTAAGTCTTTTCCTTCCCCATATTAGAGGTTAAGCTGATCCGGTTCTTAAATCATTAATAAACATTCATGGATTAAACCAATGAGAAGCCGAAAATGTCCAACCTCTGCCAATAAGAGTCATACATGTGTATTCTTTTGAAGAGTTAAGCTCTTGAATTCAAAAGTTTCCAAACTATGCTTTATCCCTATATCAACCAAAAGTTTCATTTTCCAATATATTGTGAATCCATGTTGTATCAATCGATCAATAAAACCAACCACTAGGCACATTCACTAAAAGAAGGAGTTAAAGAAAAATCTTCTGGAATTAACCTAGGCAATGTTCAGGTGAGTCCAAAGCACACAAATGTCCCAAATTCCATGAAAATATCCCAAATTTCCAAAAAATATCCCATAGGAATCAAGTCCCAAATTTCATGAAAATGTCCCAAATTTCCCAAAAATATCCCAAAGGAATTGCGTCTTTGCCACAAAAACAAATTTTCTAATTGGTAGTACACACCTTTAATATCTAAAATTTAGATTATTTGATCTAACATAGTTAATAGTTTTAAATATCTAAGGTCTACAACATTGGTTTGCTCAGATATAGGGATTAGAAAATCAGAATTTGTGTCAAAGACTCAATTCCTTTTCATCAGAGTGTTCCAAAGTTCACGCTAATGTTCCAAATTCCACCGACCTTTCCGACCTAAAGCAAAAATTAATCTTTTGAACAAAAGAGCTATATCAGAAAACTGTTATATTGTTCTATTGTAGTGGATTCTTTTCGTAGATTCTTCTACAGTTTTATGGAAAGAATAAAAATGGAATTTCTGCTAAAAATTTTATTTTCCAAAAACGGGAAAAAAATCCTTCAGGCACATTACCAATACCAGACTGCCAGAAATGTACATTGAACCAGACTGTCAAACCGATACATTGAACAGACTCTCAGACCGTTACAACCAGACCAATACATTACACAAGATTGCGAGACCGGTACTTTGTACCAGACTGCCAAACCGTTACATTAAATTAGATTACTATAGACCAATACATTACATTAGACTGCCAGACCGATACATTATACGGAACTGTCTGATGGTACTTTGTAACAGACTACACGAACGATACATTATACCTATCTGCCCAACGTACTGCCCAACAGATACTTTGTACTAGACTGATAGACTGGTACATTATACCGGACTGCCCGACCGGTACATTATACCAGACTACCAGAACGGTACATTTTACCAGACTACCAAACCTGTACATTGAACCAGACTGCCAGACCGTTACATTGAATTAGACTGCCAGATCAAACTACCTGACGGGTACTTTGTACCAGACTACCAGAACGATACATTTATACCAAACTGCCAAACGGATACCAGAATGATACATCATACCGAACTGCCCGACTGGTATTTTGTACTAGACTGCCATTCTGATACATTTTACCAGATTTCCGATTTAAGTCCATATGAAAGATCAGACTTTGGCATAATTGACAATCTGATATCAAAGCCGGCCCACTCAATGTAAAAAAGCTGATGCAATAATCTGACAAAAAAAATCCGTTTTCCTGAAGAAAACAAATCAATATTCCCCTCTGTTTCCCATATAGAACATACACCTGAAATCTGACCCTAGCTCTATTAACTCAGTATTGTAATTTTATTTCCCCCTCCCTTGCTCCCGCTTCCTCCCCCCTCCCCTTGCATTTACTGATCAAATATTGACAGTGTGACAGTGTGTACCATATATCAATATATTACAACATTATTACAGTTACACCTGGTTTACACATTTACATATTAAGTTTATGGCATACAATAAAACTTTGTATGCCAAGTAAATGTAAAATTTTAAACTAAAAATAATTTTACAATTTAGGCTATGGGGGTGAGTGTCAAAATATCAAATTCATATTGAACAGACAAAATATGAAACTTTTTCCATTTTCTAGAAATTTCACTTTTAATCATCAATTTTAGTCCTTTTACAGCATGGGGTCAGGGATATCAAATTTGTTGAAGAATCGGAAAAAGAAAAAAGAAAAAATCATTTTCTGTAATTGGTTTTACAAAATATGCATGTATTTACATTGGACAACAATCAAATAAAACCTTTTAATCAACCATTAAAAAGATATTAATATGCATTTTTAATTGTAACATTCAACACAGCTTTTTACAAAACAAATTTTAGAAATTTAAAATGTTTTTATTTCAAAAATGTTGTCAATAATTATTAGAGCTAGTAACTTTTGAACAATATACATTTAAATGTGGAGAAAGGTTTCTTTCTCCGCGCGATAAAGGATTTAGTTCTCGTCTTAACCTTTAATCCCCGGAATCTTATTTTTATATTTTACTCTTGTACACCATTATCATAGAATAGTTTTCATCTTAAAATCTTACATTTTTCATACGTACACAATTACTGAGAGTTTTAAAGAAAAATATGCTGCAAATAGAATTGCTAGTAAAATTATCCCAAGAAGAATAGTTTTTAACAATCTTATCTGCCGCTAACTTCAATTTTTTCTTAGTTCATTCGAATATTTTTAAGATTTAAATTGTGGCTAATTTTATTCTTTCCAATAATAATTGTTTTTAATGATTTAAAGTTTTATTTTTGTTAAAAAGTGTCCAACCTCCAATTTTAAAGTTTCTACCCTAAATTAAAATGTTTCCACCTCAAATTGTAAAGTTTCTATCTCAAGTAAAAAATTTTCCATCTAGAATTTTAAAGTTTCCACCTCTAATCTAAAAGTTTCCACCTCTATCTAAAAGTTTCCACCTCAAATCTAAAAGTTTCCACCTCAAATCTAAAAGTTTCCACCTCAAATCTAAAAGTTTCCACTTCAAATATCAAAAGTTTCCACCTCAAATATTAAAAGTTTCCACCTCAAATATCAAAAGTTTCCACCTCAAATATTAAAAGAATCCACCTCAAATTTTAAAAGTTTCCACCTCTAATCTAAAAGTTTCCACCTCAAATTTTAAAGTTTCCATATTAAATTTAAAAGTTTCCACCTCAAATTTAAAAGTTTCCACCTAAAATTAAAAAGTTTCCACCTCAAATTTAAAAGTTTCCACCTCAAATTTTCAAAAGTTTCCACCCCCAATTTGGCATGTTTTTAAAGATTGCATGTTACAGGACCATGTACTCAGCATGTATGTATGTATTTTTCTCTCATAGAATTACTGTTAGAAATAAGCCAAACTATGTTAGATATAGATATCATGACCAATTTAATATGTCTAACATACATTAAATATATCTAATGACTGATGCATTTTAAGATCTTACAATCTTTTAAATAAAGGTAGTTTTTAACAATTTAATTGTTTGTTTAAGCTAATCGTTTCGTTACATATTTCTCACAAAAAAGCAGAATTCTCGTCTGACATCAGTGATTAGACATTTTTTTGCAAGCAACTAGCTTTTTTCAGGCAGTGTACACATTTCAAGCAACTAAAAAAGCATTATCTACAGCTAATTTGTAAATAATGTTTTTTTTGCAATTTAAATTAATTTCAGATTTCAATAAAATACCTAGAAATTTATGCTCTAATTGGCTTCGTATCATAAAAAAACAAGAATTTTATTTAAATCAAACAGTAGACTATAATATAGAAATAAAAATAATTTAAGAAAATTGTAATTCAATTAACTTTTAAATTTAGATTATTCATACATACAAAATTGTATAATTGTATATCTAACTTTAGATTCTCAAAGAATTAAGATAAATCTATGTTTAGCTTAAAGGAACTGTAAGCGTTCAATTTCAAGTGACCCTCCATTCACAACGATACCCTTAAAAACTTAGTCTGATCAAGTATAAATTATATATCCATGTTTTAAACTGTGTATTTTCATTTGCGGCTTTTCCGCGCGCGCGTTCCTTGCTTATATAAGCAGCAATGAAGAAATTCACAGAAATAAACACTTTTTGAGTCAGAAAAACGACGTTATCTTCCACATTTTTGATCAGATTATTATTTCAAGGGTACCGTTGTAAATCAGGCATTGCCATCTTAGCGTGAAGGGCTACTTTGAATTATGCTTACAGTCCCTTTAACGAAAAAACACGTTTCTCAATGTTTTCTTCAAAAATAAAAAAGATTTGGTATAATTGTATTAAAAGGTTAATTTAGATAAATTCATCACTAAGTAATAAATTTTAGTAAATATTATGATCTCTAGTTAATTAAAAAAAAGATAATAATAATTAAATGTAGTATGTTATGTCATTACATAACAAACAAATGTTTTTAAAAAAGTGTTCAAATTATTTTTCTAACTTTAGTTTTCTCGTTTAATCAAATTGAGAAATTGAAAAGAATGATACTATAAAGACAAAACGTTGCATTTTCGGATTAGCTCATTAAAGATTATTTCAAAAATCTAAAATTAGATGCACTTTTAATTTCCAAAATTCTACACGACACATCTTGAAACTTTATGTGCACAAAAATGTTAATGACCAAGAAATATTACTTCGAAGGCTTTGCGGATTTTCTTGAAATTTAAAATCAACTGATTTGAAAAAAAACGGTTTCTAAACTTGATATTTATTTGGTTTGGTTTCAGAGTATGGCTGGTGGTGTGATGAGCCAGGTTCAAGGGATTATACCAGGAATGAGGAGGGAAGAGGAGGTCCCTGATCCAGCCCAACCCCAGGAGGAATACCAGGAGTACCAGGTAATGCTGGGCCGCCAGATTCATCCACTCATTCAAACATTTTTGAGATATTTACAGGACATGACAAAAACAGAAAATTCTATGGTATTGCAAAATTTAATTCTAAACAACTTCGCTTTTAATAAACTATGCTAAATTTTGACTTTGGCAGAGGAAATAAGATATTAAAGGAAGAATTATCAAACCATCAAAACGGCTGGTTGACTTACATTCTTTTTCTTCCGGCCGGTCACGACTAGATTTTCGTCAGATACAAATTTTCGCATACTGGAATGACAGCACGTAAGTGAAGAATAATATTTTGCAATTGTTAGACTTCCTAAATGTTTGTGACTGTGAGTCACTTAAAAAAACGAGAGAGAAAAATTGAATGTTTAAAACGGATCTGGTACCACTACCAAGAACTACATAAATCTTCCTTAACCGAGCTGGGCCAACCATTGCGGTCCTAGTTTGTACTGTAACGCTAATTTACAATAACTAAAGCGGGCAGACCTGTGTGATTCACCATATTTTGTTAACTACCAACTATATTTGCAGTAAACCCTATAAAACTGTGGAATACACGCTAAGAAATTTCAAATTTTCATCTAACAAAATTTGTTAGAGCAGCGGCACCAAATTCAAATTTTGTTAGATGAAAATTTGAAATTTTTTAGAGTGTATGGGAAGAAGTTCATAGGAAGATGAGTATTGGAACTAGATTGAGATTTTAAATAAACCAATCATTATGAACTATACAGTTTACACAGTAAACTGTACAGTGTACAGTGTACACTGTACAGTGTACAGTGTACACTGTACACTGGACAATTCATAAGTTTTTAATTTTTTAAGTCCGTAACTTTACTTAAATATGTTGTTTTCCTATTCTACAGTTTTATGGATACAATAACTAAATTTTGCATAATTTCTAAGTAATATTTAAAACAAAACTCTAATCATATAATCGTTTAATTTGGGCAATTTTGTACACAAAGGGTACCCATAGAACATTCCGCATGCATAAAGAAAAAATTCCTAGGAATAGTAAATATTTTATTTTATTAAACTTTATGATTGAACCATTTTTCTGGAATTGAAATGCCAAAGAAATTTATCAAATTTCCGTCTGTGAAAATCTCCTATAGCCATCTTTTCTTGCAATATTATTAAACTAGCGTTGCCCAGGGTACTCTTAGTTACTCCCGCTGTTTACCCGCAGTTGGTCGTAAATTACAACCCATTCAACTTTGAATATTAAAACCAAGCCAAGAGCAATTTCCGAGTTCCCTAATTGAGGCATATCGGTCCATGGGTTCATGACAATAATCGGACAAACAAACAACCACACAGAGATTACAACTTTATATAGATAGACACATACAAGTTTTATACATCACCATTTTTCTCTTAATGAAGTTGCATTCCAAAATACAAATTTATTCTGTCACAAACTCGATTTTCAATTCGTTAATTTATTGATTGTTATCGACTAATTTGTTCGTTTTTTTCAGTCGTTTATAAATCATTGTTCATTTTCCTAAAACTGTTCGTTCAGCAAAGTTGTTCGTCCAGTAAAAAGTTTTATGTCGTTTTGAAAAAACGATAGTTTCTTATTTTTCTGATTAGTTCGTTCGTCGTTCGTTAATATTTCTAAACGACACCGTCGTTCACAAAAAAAAATTGTTTTGAAATATTGCGTTTGTTTACTAAAACAATGCCCATATCTACCTAAATCTTTGCAACCCAAGGTATAGACATTAGATATTTCAGACTATAACACGAATTAGGATAAAAAGTTTGAAATATCAAAGATTTTACACCATTAGAAAATTTGAGTTTGTGGAAAAGACTCAAGAAATACATTTCATTTTAAACTTTTCAGTTTCAAATACGTATATTTTCCTAGTTTAGGATATTTATCATTTTGAACATAAAATACCGGCCATTTTGAATATCTAGCCTTTCCATCATGTGTATATCCAATATCCGGTTTTCCAAACCCAACATAACATTACAAAGACATTTTATTAAATTAAAGGGAGTGTAAGTTTAGTTTTGATTCAAAAATTACAATTTCCGATTCACAATGGTACCCTTGTAACCTTTATCTGATCAATAATGTGGATGATATTGTCGTTTTTCTAGGTTTAAAATGTTTTTTTCTGCACGAGAAATGCGCAAATCACTTTATAGAGAACCCACAATTTTTAAACAATCAGTTTTCAAAGTGATAAACAATAATATCTAATTCATATTTTGACATTGTCATCTTTTCCTGGAGGATCACTTGAAATTACGCTTACCGTCCATTTAATGATACTCAATGAACTTCTTATATGAATGTATTTTGTAACATTTTTCAACAAAAATGTTTTCACAAACAATGTATAGTTTCTGGATCTGAGTGGATTGGATATGTAATTTTGTAGTAGAGATGTTTATAGTTTTGGTTTTTAAAAAACAATTTATTTTAAATTCCAAGATTTAAAAACTGTATTCTGTTAAGATTTTCTTTTATTAACTTTGCCCCCGCCCCCAAAAAAAGAATACGGAAATACGTTTTAAAAACAATCGTTCAATTGTTCGTTTTGGATTTTTTACTTCGTTTGTACAGTGTTACCCATACAGAATAAGACTGTAAAGACGACCTATAACTCTTTTAACATTCTGATTCTAAGCTTTAAAGTCTTGCCTTAAATTAGGTCGTTTAATGACTTATTTAAAAATTTAAAAAAGAACGAAACAAGTTAACACAGTACAGTCGTTTCTGAAGTCTCGTCCTTTGTGGGTAATCCTGTAGCATATATAATCCTGTAGCATATATAATCCTGTAGCATATATAATCCTGTAGCATATATAATCCTGTAGCATATATAATCTTGAATCTGTCAGGATCAAAGTTTGGCACAGTGTAAGATAACAAAAGTTTAAAGTAAACAATTGTGAAAACGTCTTTCACGCACCCCTGACTCTTTAGTAAAAGTAAAATATAACCTAAAGTATGATCGCGTCAGCCTTGTTGCACCGGCTAGTCCTATTGAGTGTCTGCTTCATTTACCCAATGCAATGTCCAGGCGGTACAGTACAAACTGGGACCGGAAAGGTTGACCCGACTCGGAAATTCCAATGTATTACAGCTGCCCGTGCTTTTATTATTTTGTTCACCTCTCTGCCATATTTTGCAAGCACTATTTTCAACAGTTGAAACTTTGTTAATTCTGCAGAATTTATTTGGAAGCAAGGTACTAATGCAAGGAAAGTTAATTGCAGTTGCGTATACTCTGCGTACATATTGAAACCAGTTCTCTCTGGGCGGAATTTGTAAACAAGAATAGATGCATCAGTGTTCGTCTAGTATCCGAGGAGGATAAAAGCATTTAATTTTGATAATTTCGAAAATTCACATAATAGTTTCCTGTGACCAGAATATTTCATAGATTATTTTTGTGAAAATTGATTCCATGTCAGGCTGTGACATCCGTCTTGTGTTTACTTTTCCGCCAAAAGACAGTACACTGCAGTACAAAAAAATGCGCGCACCTCTGAAATAACTTTCCTTGCATTAGTACCTTGTTTGGAAGTATATTCCCCAACATTGTGTTCCATGCTTGATGAAAATTAAAGAGTGAGTTGCAGGAACTATATAATTGCTGCACTTAAATATATTATTACAAGAAATACAAGAACAAGAAAAATTTGATTATAAAAGATTAATATTTATAAAATCAAATTAAGTTTGTGTATAAAATTACAACATTAGATTAAGATTTTTCTCTCATAAATAACCAAACTACCGTTTTCTGGAAAAAATATGTTTTTTTTTCAAGTTTTTCATTTTTTAAATCAAGCTAAGAACATTCACGTGGTTCTACCAAGTTCCCTCCCCAATTAAAATTTGAGGCAAATCGGTCAAGGGGTTCATAAGTTATGATCAGACATACAAACAAATCTGTTTTTTTTCAGGAGGAACAGTACACTGAGTAGAGTTATGGTGAAAATCAATAGACAGAGTGAACCAATAGCAGAGTACATGCTCATGTACACAGTGTACACTGGGTGTACTCAGTACACTAATACTCCATGATAGATCAGAATATTACAAGTGCTATAGTTTGTGTACATTTGTACGCCATTTGTTGTTGACAGTCAGCATGGAAGGGAAAGCATACACATGTTCACCCGGTGTACACAAACACACCCTGCTGTGCCGTACACAAGAAACACTATGTGACACCATCTGCATGACTTGTTGATTGATCGATTTATACATATTCATTATTCAATATATGTTGACCAGGAGATGGCCAACTTTTTAGAAAAAATAATTTCAAATTTCTGGCATCAAAATCGGCAACAAATGTGGAACAAATAGAAAGTTTCTTCCATCTTCCGGTTCTTTAAAACTTTCAAGATTCATTCAAAATATTAATTTTATTCAATGTTATATCCGGCTTTATCAAAGATTTAAATTTCAGCGCTGCGTCGTATTATTGTAACGACGACCTTTCAATTTCCTCCATTTTGTCATTTTTAAATTCTTTGACTGTAGATTAATCTTAAAAGTTATCTATTTTGTATTTTGTGATCTAACACGGAACTTGTACCCAACTCCAGTTTATAGACCAGCCATTTAAATGTTTTATAAAGAAATTATCTTGTAGAATTCTTATTCTTATTCATCGTTTGGTTTGCCTTCATTACAGCTCACTGTTATAGAATCCTAAACACATCTTTGTGATTAGATAGTTTTGCTTCTTATCATTTGAACGACACTTGTCCAGGTCCTAATTCTCCGAAAATCCGCAAATTTCTGATTTCACCTGATCCCAGAATTCGAGGATTTTCTAGAATCTTTCCTGGACCAACAGCTGTTTGATTATAATGCAAGAAGTCTAGAAATGTCGTCGTTACTGATCATAAATGTTTGAAATAATAAACGTTGTTCTCTTATTCTTAACTTGATTTATTATTTGTATGAGATGCATGGCAAATAGATGAATTAGGTGTGACAGAAAAAGTTTGAAATCAGGATAATGGTGACCGATGGTTTGCCAAGTTTTGCCAACTTGGCTTGGTTCCCTATTGTAATTAAAAATATTCAGTTAGAGATAGGATCTATCTGTTAAAACAAGGAGAACAACATCATACAGTAAGGCCCATAAACCTGTGGTGTAGTAAGACGAATGTAAAAATGTACTGAGAAACTTTAAGGAAAAATTTATACAATCACGAAACCTTTCACTGCACTCTGAGAAGGTTTTCTAAATGTATGTGGACTGTGGAGTATACTTGATCAAAAGCTGTTTTGTGG